CTCTCTTCACTCTCTCTTTTCCCTACCTTCCTTCCTGCAGCCCTCTTTTTCTCCATCCATCCGTTCATTGATTAGAGCAGCAACTCCATTATTTGTGGGTGTGCTATTTCTTGCAAGCGGAACAGGATCTGTGCACAAGCCCCCGATATCGGAAGGACTACCGTCTTCACCCGAATAGAACGCCGGGTTATTATAGATCTATTTACGGCAATTTTCACTCCAGATGCGGCGATCAAGACCGGGCGTTCTATTCGGGTGAAGACGGAAGGCTGGAACCATGCCGTGAACGCGGAGAGGCAGGGGGAGAAGGACCACCCGAATAGAACGCCCCCCGTCTTCACCCGAATAGAACGCCCGCGGTCATTATCGCTGCACGTGGACCGAAAGTTGCCCCAAATTGCGCTGTAATGGCTGAGCGTTCTATTCGGGAGAAGGAACACGAGGGGATGTTGTCAAGTGCCTGGTCAAGCAGGGAGGATAAGGAGTGAGAGACCTACGCTGAGAAATGGAGGAACAGTGAGAGAGGAGAAGAGGCCGCCATGGAAATCTTGAGGAGCTCGAGTAGCAGGAGAAGGAAGAAAGGGGAGGGGGAGGGGGAGGGTCCGGATGCGGGATCAGAAGGATGAGAGGGTCGGGACTTGGTAGGTCGGGATGATGGGGATGTGGCTGCAGAGGAAGGAAAGAGGAGAGTCATGATCGCGATATGGCTGAAGCATGCAAGGTAAGACTGCCGGCCTCAAGGAGGTTGTGGAGGGGGAAGACCTCGAAGAGAGGATCCTTAGGTGAATGGGAGGAGGATGTAGACCGGGGGACCCCCAATTTCTGAAGAAGGGGATGGGCAGCGCGGATTGGAGGGGGGGGGGGGGGGGGGGAGGGGGGGGGGGGGGGGGGGGGTGGAAGCGATCAGGGTGATTTGGGATAAAGAGGAGGAGGGTGTCGAAATGTGAGCTAATCAGGGTGAGAATGTAGGCAACGAGGAGGTGAAGAAGAAGGAACGCCAAGGCGACAGGGTAAGGGATGGAGGTAGTGGAGGGGGAATCTGGATATGGCGGGGAAGAGGAGATTGGAAGGCAGGAAGAGGGGCTCAGAGCGGAGGAAGGGGAACAGGTTGTAAAGAAAGGAGAGAGCAGGATAATGACGCAGGGGGCCTGAATCACGAGAGAGAGAGGGTGAATGTGGATATGCAGGTGATGGAGGAGAGCAATGAGGAGAGAAAGAGCTACACACAGAGGACGAGAGGAAACAACGTACCAGATCCGCTGGCTGAGGCCGCATCGAGTAGTGAAGGAGTAGGAGCTCGACGAGATCCCGACGGGGGAGAGAAAGGAGTGGCGAAAGACGGAAGAGAGAGAGAGAGAGAGAGAGAGAGAGAGAGAGAGAGAGAGAGAGAGAGAGAGAGAGAGAGAGAGAGAGAGAGAGTTTCACTTCGCTTTCAACTCTGGTTTAGGCGCTTGCTAGGTAGTCTTCGTCTCTCTGTCTCTTCCTTTTCTGTTTGTGTGTTGTGATCTGCTTGCCCATCAATCCCCCTGCAGTTGGCCCCTTCAAAGTGGCATGGGAATGAAAGATGGTTTTTACTGATTTTGAGACGGACAGGACACTGGATATCCAAGTGCAGCGAAAATACCAGCGGTGACCATGCGATCTGTATGTATTTTTTTAGATGTATGCTTATGCTTATATATGGATAGAATGTGTGTGTGTGTGTATGTGTGAGAGAGAGCGAGAGAGAGAGAGCGAGCGAGCGAGCGAGAGAGAGAGACACAGAGCTGTCTCTTATACACATCTAGATGTGTATAAGAGACAGGAGAGAGAGAGAGAGAGAGAGAGAGAGAGAGAGAGAGAGAGAGAGAGATTATACATTTAGACCCGGGATATCTGATTGGTGGGTTCTTGTTTTTTTAAGCTTGTGCGGGCATAGCTGGTCTGGCCCTACTTGTAGCTACAAATACCTAAGTGTGTGCACTCAAAGTAGTCGTGGTAGACTCCAACACTGGTTTACCAGAGTAGCGTTAAAACGTAAAACACACAAACATGAAAAAAAGAGAAGCAAGAAAGCATGAAAAGGAAAAGAAAAGAAAAGAAAAAAAATGACACAGAAAAGTAAAAAAAAAATAAAAAATAAAAAATAAAATGGAATATAAATAATAGAAAAAGAAGGCATCCCCAGGTTGCCACCAAGGACGATATGATGAAGGAATGCTGCCCTGTGAGGACCCTGCTCTGCTTTCTCGTCCTTGCTTGTAGCCGGCATCCCATCTTTCCTCAATGCTTTCAGGATTAGCTGGCATTATGACAGATGACGTGCCCTGGCTATCTGCCCCATGGCAGACCTTGTCTATCTCACAGATGGCATGCCCTTGCTATCTAACAGACGACATGGCGTAGCTATCTGCTCAGAAAACATGGTCTTCGTTGTCTATCCACCGCCTCCATGGGTCTGTTGCGTTGAAGCTTATTTGTTCAGCTTACCACCCTGTAATCGCTGTCATCATCCTTGTCATCATCCTTGTCATCATCCCTGTCATCATCCCTATCATCGTCGCAATGTCATCATCCCTGTCGTCATCCCTGTCATCATCCCTGTCATCATCCCTGTCATCATCCCTGTCATCATCCCTGTTATCCCTGTCGTCATTTCTGTCATCATCCCTGTCGTCATCTCTGTCAACATCCCTGTTATCACTGTCATCCCTGTCATTCTTGGCATCATCATCCCTGTTATCGTTGTCATAATCACTGTTATCCCTGTCATCCCTGTCTTCCCTGTCATTCGTGTCATCATCCCTGTTATCCCTTTCGTCATCCCCGTCATCCTTGTCATTCTTGATGTCATCATCGCTGTTATCGTTGTCATCATCCCTGTCATCCATGTCATCATCCATGTCATCATCCATGTCATCCCAGTCATCATCCCTGTCATCCCTCACATGCCTGTCATTCGTGCGGTATCCCTGTCATCATCCCAGTCATCATCCCTGCCATCGTCCCTCCATCCTGTCATCATCCTTGTTATCCCTATCCTTCCTCTCATCATCCCTGTCATCCCTGTCGTCATCTTTCTTTGTGTTGACAAGTCTGCTCTTTGCTGGGAGCTGCATGACGATACACTCACGGAGAGAGAGAGAGAGAGAGAGAGAGAGAGAGAGAGAGAGAGAGAGAGAGA